TTACTTTCATTTAATATACTAAACCCTCCATATTTCTAAATTTTCGACTGAATATGTAGGAGATTGTTGGAGAAGGAAATTTCTTAGTGATATAGTTTAAACGATCAAACTGAATACAATAGAAAGTAGAGAAAGGTTTGAGAAAAGAAGTTCAAATTGTTTATATCAATTAGTAGTTAAGTGAAATTAGTTGGAAATCAGTCATCAGTACTAAAAATATTTTCACTTCTCATAACTTTCAAACTTATGATACTTTGCTTCGAATTCATGAGCTCTGTTCTTATAGACATTTTTGAAAAGAAAGCAAAAAATGTTCCAATAATTCGAAATATTCCAATAATTCAAAAAATGTTCCAATAATTCACTAAATTTATTGCTGATATGGAGATTTGATGCCAGTGGATTCAGAGGTACATCTAATTCAATTAAGTACAAGAAAATATACGTCAAACTGGAATATCAATTGGTTTTAGAAAAAAAGTTACCTATAATAGTTACTAAACTGGGTACCGACCCATGAATCATGTAAAACTGATAAACTGATAATTAATATCATCATTCCCATGTTTAGCTATTCATTACATATAAATAAAAAGGATAGCTGAAGCGTTAGTTGCCAAAAAACTTCAATAATTTCTCTAATTTCATCAAAAAGACGTTACATGAAAATTATAATCACTGCTACGTGCACAGAATGAACACAATTAATTGAATTACAATTAAAAATAAACATTGACAAGTCATTGTAAATCTGGTAAAACTACTATTAAATATTTTTATATTATAAAATTAACTACACTATATTAAACATTTTATATTATAAAATTAACTACACTGCAAGTTGGTACCCGATATAGAATAGGTTTCAACAACAAATACAAGAGAATTAGGTGAATTGAAAACAGAACAGTGTTGTTAAGGAAAGGATACAAATGAAGGCGATTAAGAAACTCAACTTTCAACAATTATTATTTGCCCAGATTCGGCTATTAAAGTGAAGAAAATAATTAATTGAATTCAAAGTAGGACAAAAAAAATTTACTTCACAATTTTTTCAAGTTCTTACCATAACACTATCAACAATTAGAGCGGATCTTCCAAAGATCCAAAAATTCTTCCAGTCTCATATCCATACTTGGAATTCAATTACTTTTATTACTTTTACATCATTAGCAAAAGGTTAATAAATCTTGAGAAATAAACATTAAAAATTCAATATTACAAACTATATAATGCACAAAATTAACAAAAGATAAGAACAATACTAAACTTTCAACAAATGTTATCTGCTCAGATTAAGGCTATTAGAAGTGAAAAATAAAAACAAGCAATTGAATTCAGAGTTGTGAGAAAAAGATATTTTTCAAGTTTTTGCCATTGCACTATCAATATTAGTTTAAGCGTGTCTTTCAAAAATCCACGAATTCTTCCAATCCCTTATTACATATATGTAGAAATAAATTGCTTTAATATTCAAAGTTATTTGAAAAAACTGATGATAGCTGAAAACTGACAAAGTTATTTCAAAAACTGATAATATTTTTGGTTTCTTCTATTTTTTATTTTTTATTCTTTTTTTTGTCTTAATTCTTTTTTTGTTTGTTGTTTTTTTTGTCCTTTTTTTCTTTTTTTCTGTTTTTTTATTTTCCATTTTTCAATTTTTAATTTTTTTTTTATTTTTATTTTATTTTTATTTTATTTTTTTTTATGATTTACTGACCCGCTTGATGCCTTCGCTGGATAGAGGATGGAGAACTGGAACAGGCAGGGACAGGTTGGGTGCGTGGGGATTGCCAAATGGTATTACTGGCCTGAAACAAAAATTCATTAATTAAAAAGTTGCGAAGTCGACTTTGCAAATTTCTCACCTTATATGGCTATCCGAATTTGGTTCCTTTGTTTAAACAGAATTTACTTCATGAATTTGTTAAAAATTTTTCACCTGGAATGAAGAGCTGGTGGGCACCCTTTTCTCTTCCCACAAGATCGAGTCTGCGTCGCTTTGTCTGTCTTTCGTTGTTCACGGCCGCACATGCCTTCGGGCACCAATCGAGGGCATGAAGCTCCACCGCTGCTGTTTTCTACGCGGCCGTAAATCCGGGTGGCAGCAGGCCACAACGGGACCAAAAACCTGGAATATATATATCATCAATGAGCTTTTGGATGAATCAAATGTACCAACATATTTAGAAACCTGCTTGTGTATCTTCGACGCGTGAATCCGCCAACGCTTCAGTGAATTAAACTGCCTGTTGCAGATACCGCACACTGAAAGTACAAAACTATTATTTGACAAAACTGTCAAAGTAGAAAACTATTTGAAGTGAGTGCAGACTGTCTATCAATCTCAGGATGCAAATTTCGTCACTGTTTTGCTTAATTTCTGTGGTTAAAGTGTGAGGAAACTAAAATAGATTATAAGCACATAATCATTTTCAATGTCATTTTAAAAAAAATAATTATAGATTGCCGATGTTTATATTGCCTTCTCTTTGTACCACCGTGTACGGTTCCGCCTGCGGTACTTCTAACTCCCTTTGGAGTTGTTCTGAAAGATCCTCTAGATCTTCCTGGTGAAATTCCTCCAGGACCGCCGCAGCCAACGTTGTTTGTGTGGCTGGAACCGGAAATCTGATCGTCCTTGATCTTCTGAAATATATTTAAATCTAGCCAGATCTGTTCGTTTTTTGTGATGGACAAACTTAAGACTGCTTTATTTCCTCTTTTTCCTATACATTACAGTAAGACTAACAAGACGATTTCTCGGACTGTTTCTTCCAGTCCCTCAACGCCACTCGTCTCCATTCGTATCACCATCTCCTCAGCTTTATCCTCTTCATCGTTTGACAAAGACCCACTTCAATCCCGATGGCCAATTCTCAGCCTCATCATCATCTTCAGGCAGAGGAGCCCACTCTGTCTCTTCGTTAAATTCCGGCTCCTCCTCTTCCATTTCATTATGGGCATTTCGCCCTTCGAATACCTCCAACCTCCTCTCCCCTCCTTCAAGCGTGTTATGAGCGAGGTTTCGAACTGAAAAGATTTCGTTTTACAGTCTTATCTTAAAATTGAAGCGTTTTCTACAACTCCTAATTGACACTGCAATTAATTAATGATTGCAGAAAAAAGGGGTGAATAAAAAAGAAGAGAAAAAGATGAAGTAATTACCTCGACTGTCTCGCTCACAAATTCCTGGAATGTTTGGAACATTACTGGCTTCTTTTTTAAAAAATCCAAAGGATTTGCAATATCGGGATTTTCCAGATTCGCAAGCATTCTGCAAAATCAACAAATTTATCAAATATTTATAAAGCATAAAAAATTCCTGGCAATTACACTATTAATCAACCATTACAAAAAGCTTATAACGTTATGATTTCATTCCAGTTCACCTAAAATAAAAAAACCATGTATAATATTTCCTTTTTAAGTAACATCCTACAAAAAATATCCCTGCAAATATGCAAATATCATCTTCTGATCATGATAACGAAACGTGACTTTGAGAGATCCAAAAGAGGCTAATAATCTATGTCCGCATTCCTCCGTACAACTTTCTTAATCTCTCACAGTCTTGTTTGGTGATAGAATCGGGAACAGTCCTCGAAATACTTCTGATCTTTTAATAAACCTTAATTTTTGTTGGTTGTTTCAGTGGTAGGCAAGTATATTTCAAAATGGTATTTAAACACTACTAAATTTAAATTTTACACCTAGTAATCTACATAGCTGCAAGCCAGTTCATTTTGGAAAGCATCAGACAATTTCCGCTTTTCGGATCATTTATGTCATATTAATGATAGTTTGTGGAGTATTCCTTGTTTCGGTATCATCAATTATTCAGAAAGATTTAATGAGACTGTCACTAATGCACGAAATTTTACATTCTAATTTACTTCAAATTAGCCACAATAGTGCATGGATACTGCAAATGTTAAGCACCAAATACCTTACATTTTCCTTTCCAATCCAATCTCATTTGCACTCTGGAATGAAAATTCAATAGCTCAATAAATTAATTTAAAAAAGAGAAAGAAAAAAAAGCTGTTGGAAACAGAATGTGCCCATAATGCTCCTTTTCCCCGACAAATTATTTCTTGTGTTTAGCATCATGATATGTAAATATATCACTATAGAGAATGTATTCTTTTGTAGAGAATCTTAATTGCTCTACTTTAATGCTCCCATATTTTATACACTTTGTGGTCAGCACTATATTGTTTTATGTAATTTATGTCTACATTATTTTATGAACGTTACAAAATTTTATTAACGAAACGTAGAATTAAGTTAGAAATTACTAAAATTAAAAATTAAAATTTAAACTTGGAATTTGAGGGGACAATATTTTTTAACAATCGAAATTATTTTGATAAATCCTTAGATCAGTAAATATGATTTCTTTGTTTGATATTGTTGCCTTTTCTTTCCAGTTTTTGCCGAGATTTTTTTTTTCGCATTCTACTCAAAATTACAGATTTTCTCAGCCTGAGCTGGTGGAAATTTTCGGTCAAATATCAAATGTTAGTAACGATGCTATATGGGAATTATTGGGATTAAGACGATTATTTGCTCTATTACTATCTGAATCATCTTACATTTGCGTATCCTTTATTCGTTATTTTTGCCGTGCAATGGACAATTCATGGTTGAAGCTATGGAATTCCAGGTTTGCTTTTTAAATACTTTGATTTTTGTCTTCGAAAATTTTCATTACCTTTCGAAATCCATGTCTCTTAAATCTGAGGCGATAAACATTGTTAACCTAGCAGTATAATTTTACAACCTAGTGCTTGTCGAATGTAACTTAAAAAAGAAAGTTAAACTTTAATCTAAGCATGTCTATAGTTCTCAGCATTGATCAGTGTTTAATTTAGATCCTTTTCCTTGCATTACCAATTTGTTTGACGGTGTTTTCATTCCTGGAAGATCCTCAAATTTTGTGTCAGTAGGATGAATACGCTTGCATTGGAGTTGTTTGATGATTAGTAAATATACCAAAATTTGTTCTCTTCGTGGTGGCATGCCTCACATTACAACTTTACTTTATAAATGTAATTTTCATGGTTTATGAGAAATCATCTGTGACCTTTCTTTCCTATTATTTATAAGTTACTTAAAGTATCTTTTTTAGTACTTGAGGATTGCCGATGGGAATGGAAATGAATATTTTGAAATGGATCGAGTTATTGAACAAAGAGTTTTTAAACAGGTTAGCATTTTATATGCAATAGCAGTATGTAAACTAATTTTACTGTTGAAAACTGCTATAATTTTAAAATAAGAAAAATGTCACAGTTTGACATCTTGTAATATGTTTCAAAGCTGCAAGGAATTGCAAATTCAAAAACAGTGAAATTCACTGCATGCATGCATGCAGTGAATGCCGCGAACTAAAAAAGAGTTACTTAGTATTCCTAGTAATTTATTGTCCATGTGCTTGCTCTTGGTCGATTACTCACTAAAGAGTTATTATAAATAAGGCTTGGACCCTTAAATTGTTGACAATAACTCAATGACCACGTGATCAACGTTTTAAACGTCGTAACACACTGCGTGTTTTGCAGCAGTTCATCCGTTTTAAATATATTCTTCGTCCTACAATGCGTCCTATATGTGAAAAGAATAAGAATGCATTAAATGCATCGATATGTTTTGGAAAGCTCCAAAAAGATCAACTTATATTATATATATTATAGATAACTTGTATCAACATTGTTAGAATGCAGGATTTTTTATTTTATTATACAGGTATTTTGAAATTATGATCAAGTTTGTTCCTTCTAATGATTTAATTCAAGAGGGATTGTTGGTAGATTCATGGAAACCAGATAAAGGAATAATTGAATTAGTAGTCATAAACAATTGCTTGTCAAGGTAATCATTTAAAGAATGTTTCAATAATTTCCGTGTATATCGCAGTTTTAGAACTTTCATTATGTTGAAGAAATTTCAGTCACTTAAAAGTCGATATGTCTTTGGATTTTGTTGTTATTGGTCACCAATTTATGGGGAAACAAATCATATGAACCAAAAGGGACTTGAATATTAGATTGAAAAATTCAAAAGTTGTGATCAATACTAATATTTATCCGGTGTTTAACAAAATGTATGGTTTAGTGGTGAATACATTGCGGGACCGTTTGAACAACACGTTTGAATAACAACAGCAACTATCAAGAAAAAATGACAGAAGGTTGGTGAAATGTTTATTTACTCATTTACGAAAAAGTTTTCACGAAATTTTTAAAATATGTTTTAAAATTTTCGAAATTTTATTGAAGCTTTTTTTTGAAATGAATAAATTGTATTAATTCAAGATAGTTATTTATCTTGAATTAGTAATTTACTCATTTCGGTTCAACTTTTTCTGGTATATGTAATGGTTCCATCGTTTTATGTGAAATGTGACAAGATTGTGACAAATGTTATTGTTTAAGCAATAATTTTTATTTGAAGCAATCTTTTTATAAACATCAATAATTGCTGCTTCAATGGCTTCATCATCAGTGGAACATACGAACTTCTTGCTTTTCTGCACAGCCATTACATTCGTCCTCTCATAGTTCGCGAAGTTTGGATAAGAAAATAAATGCCATGTCTATTAGTAAGTTTTCTTTTTTTTTTTTTTGTTGTTATTTTTGCCTAATTTATCCGAAATAAGATACAACATTAAAGTTGTAGTCATTCACGAATGCATATATTTTAGATCCATTATTAGGGTCCATAAAGTGTTACAGTTGACTGGAATGCAGTCATTATCACATAGCTATTGAATATCGTAGCATTGTTAAAATTAAACATTTTACTCGTTCCACTGCACTTATATCAATTCAAGACCAGTATTATGTACAGTAATATTTGGGAATAATTTTTTTGCTAAGAAAGAGGTGCTATAAGTAATTTAACTTTCAAATAACTCGAAGAAATTTTCAGTTTTTACTCAACAAATGTCAAATGTGGGATTAGTCAGGTTATTAAATCAGCTATGGATCACGTGCTCAAGAGTTTACAGCCATTTATCATTAGACAATCGTCCATTTCGTTTCCTGATAAACGAATTACTTATTTGAATATGTGAAATTTGGAAAGTCGTTGCAAGTTAATTCTTCCTTTTACGCTCCCATCCATAGAGAATAATTATTTATCATTGAATTTGATGAATATTGGTGTAGCATGAAATGCAGATAGTTTGTGCGAAATTTTTTTTTTTTACCGGTCATATCTTATTGAAAATTTTTCTTTATTCTTATGGATATTTTTTTTTTTGTTTATGACTACCACCCAACAAAGCATTTTTCTTATCCGTAATGATAAGTTGATATTCAGTGAAGGTATTATTACAATTGTAGAACTCATATAAACTACCGAAAAATTATCATTAGTCACGGAGGGTTTAGCATTTCTGTTTCTTCTTCATTAAAGAGTCCGTATTTCTCTATAAAAATTGACAAAAAACAAGCACTTACTTTTTCGATTCTTTCCTATTTAATCATTATGTAATTTTTTTTTTTTCTAGACATTATTCCGATCAGCAGTTGAGAACAACGACGATGCAACGGTTGATCCCTTTGAATCTTCTCGTGAATCATATACGGGTTAGACCTCCTGCTCTTCAGCGTCTACTGTTAATGGAAATATCATAACAAACTATTATAACGAATATTATAAGGAACTATTATAACAAACAATACTACTCATTAGTGGTACCTAAAATCATTTTTAGGAAACCATTTAGCGAAACAAAATTAGCCACCAGATAAACAATACTGATCAATTATAGCTAAGAAAACGTTGAACTGCTTTACAAAATGGATTACATTTTATTGTTAAATTATTTTTAATATTAAATTCGAAGTATTCAAGATTTAACATCCTGCCCTAACCTATTATTATAAGTGGATAGACAGATAATATATGTGTGTGGTTAAATTTTTTTCACCAAAAATTTTTTCATTTCGAAAAAAAAACGAATAATGTATGCCAGAATAGCAATATGGGTAAATATTTCGTGTGAATGCATGCTGGTGTCAAGAAAATTAATAAACGTGAAACACGCCCAAGCATTAATCACGTAAATGACAGTCTGGTCTGCTTTAATCAACTTTACGTTATACTGATCAAAACAGATGAATGTACTGCCAATTAAGCTATCGTTTTTTCTTATTTTTTATGATCGCTACTTCTACAAATATTGCAATCATAATTATTCTGGTAAAATTAGAGTTTGAGTGAATTTTAATCAATAATTATAATGAATATGAAAAACAAGATCTCGCTCATAAATCTCGGAATCTTCGGAGCATTGCCGCTCCTTTTTGAGGAAATCCAACAAACTTGCGATTTCAGGGTTTTTTGGATTCGCAAACATTTTGCAAAACCACCAAATTTATCAAATATAAAATACAAAAAGAGCGTGATAGTTACACTCGAAAAAATATTATTCATCGATTACAAAAAGTTTATAATGTTATAATTTCATTCCAGTCCATCCAAAATTAATTTTTGTATTAGTGTATGATATTTCCTTTCTAAGGAACATTTTCGAGGTGGATAGCGAATCTGTTTGACCCCAACTGGACGTAGCCAAGTATGAATCCGGCAACATAACAATTCTGAATCAGCCCAAGTTGATAGCAGGCCCTGCTTTATAAAAGTGAGGATTGATACAAAAATTCAAACTCCCTCTTAATCGGATATTCTAAGAACAAAACTGTTACCACTATGAAACCTGTCTTCAATTTTTAGGTTATAGTGGCAGTTTTACTGCTTGAATTGAACAAGCCCGAGCAACCTCGGAATGCGCAATTAATCACAAACAATGGACTTGAGCACTTGTAAGAAATTATTTTTTTAAAGGTGAAGTTTCAGTGATGGAAACAAAAAAACAAGCCACACATTTTAAAGATTTCAGCAACAACGTACTCTAAGTTCCAACTGGTAGCAAGATTGTCCTATCCGGCAAGACTATTTAGCAATCCATTCAACAAGGCTGTTTAGTAACGGCTGAAAATCCACTGGATATGATGGTTCTATTCAGGGATCAACCTGAATATGATGTGTCGAACTAGTTTATTATAACTCGGTCGTTTGACTTGATCATTTAATTTCCTCAGCATTCATCACATTCCTAGAAGAAGAATTAAGCGTTTTCCTCCAGATTAGATGATTTATCCTTATGTTCATGATAGCGGACATCGAGTGAGAGATATCTTCAATTATTAACTTCTCGTACTTTCCACGGTATATTCGCAATCTGTAGACTTTGCATCAAACCTAGATGAATCATATCTTCCTACCGGAAGCAAATGACAGTGGGAGATATGCAAGCTTGAACAACCTCACAGCATCGTCGAGTTACAGGCCAACCTGAACTGCATCACCTAATCCACTACCATTCCCCATCACAAACCAGCTCAAACCAACTTCTGGAATCTCGATGTGCAATTTTGAGCATTAAAGTGGTTTGGAAATTAAGTGGTGCAAAATATTGGACGGAAGTATTTTTGCATTGCTTTGGCTTATTTGTGTATTTGTGGTTGATTGGGTTGTATGTCACGTGAGTGATTCTTGTGAGACTTCCACACGTGTCTTTTTTCGTCTGACACGTAGACAGTACGTGATTTGGTGAAGGGTGTATTTCGAATCTTTCACACGGAACTAGACGGTTTGATCTTACAAAAGAAACCATTTCTTTAGTAATAGAAAAGAAGTAAACTTGCTATTAACTTTCCATAAATCTCGGCCAATAGTCCAATCTTTGACAGCATGATATATCGAAAGTCTCTTTTTGATTAATACAATAGGACAAAGTCAGCAGTATCCAATGTGTAGCAACAACAAAATTGAGATTAATAATGCGAGATCACAATAACATGCTGGGCACTGTATCTTTTCTTTGGAAAGAAACCATGAAAAGACACAGTCATCCCATTCATTCGCATATTAGTTGCTTTTTTCTTACTCTTACGTTCGACGACAAGTGGATGACATATTTGTCACTTTATATTATCGCTATGTAGGCA